ACTAGTAACAAAAGTTGTCTACATTGTTGTTCTTCTTTTTGCTCTTGTTGTTATTGCGATTATTAAATCAATGTCTATCACATTAATTATTTGTTTTAAAGGGATAGACCAATGTGATGGTAAAAATTTTTTATGATTAATTAATTTATACGCACTTATTTGTGGAAAATACTTTGCTTTTTTCTTCAATCACTATATGATCCATTTTTTAGCTCTCTTTTACTCTCCATATGTGCGACCTGTGCACAACGGAGTTATGTTTTAATTTTTTATTGAAATTGATATGTTATTTATGCATTTTGATTGTATACTTTCTGTGATAAAATTATTTAAGTAAACATAAGATTTTAGGATTTTTATTAAGTAATGAAGCAACAATACATGCAGAAAAAAATTTCTTGTGCTCCCCTCTCAATATGCTCATTTCGCTTAACAAATATCTACTATTCAATTGCATTGCATAAAGAGAATGGCGTAGTTATATTTCCCCATGCACAATATTATTATAATATTTCTATCAACATTACATTATGTATAACTTTGTCATAAGACCTGTGAGGTAGGTGTAGTTATATTTTCCCATGCACAATATTATCATAATATTTCTACCAATATTACATTATGTATAACTTTTTACATATATAAAATGAAGAAGGGGAAGGGAATTCTGTCATGTCAAATTTGACAAATATAAGCAGCTATAAGCACTTACCTCTGATTTTAATGATATCAGTACAAGGATCAAACCCATGATACATTTGGTTTGTTGGAAGGCCACACAAATTCGAGCAGAATGCCCATCAGAACCAGAACAGTTATTACTGACAAAATATCCAAAGCTACAAGACGAGCATACTGCCAGTGAAGGCTTTTCATTAGGTGTAATTTAAAACAATGGAATTACATTATTAGAATTGCTACCTTGCATGTTGTGTATCTCCTATATCATAAATCGCATGTGAGATCACACGACATTCTTCTATATGATACAAGCTACAATTCCATGAGGCTTCATTAGACAAAATGGAGCCACCTGAGTAATAGCACCAAAAGAAATTCCTTGATTCCACACATCTTACATTTTGTTCAATTCCATTTTCTATCACAATCAAAATTTGGAAGCCAAAGTCATCATCACTTGGAATTTAAACCCCTTCAAATTAGGGTCCTAAAGCTGATTGCCTGTTTCTCAACTAGAGTCACTCATCCAACAGCATCAGCATAGGAGAGAGACCCTTTGCTTGATAAATTTAGTATGACTGTGAGTTAGATATCCTCTTGCTCATCATGTAACCAAACTGAAGCGTGAATCCAATTAAGCCTTCAATGTTTTCCTCATCTGCCATCAAGAAACACTTGGGTGTGCTGCAGTCCGGAACTTGAGAATGAACCCTGCAATAGAACTTTTGAACTGCCGATGGAATCAAGATCCCTACTGAAATGAAAGAGGAGAAACTAAGGCAAGCCAGAGGAAGGTTTTGCGTGAGATGCCTTTGGGACAAATACAGCCGACCCAGATTCCCTGTCTAAATCGCTAGCTTCCAGTGGTAAATTTGGCGCTCTCTCTTGTGCCTGCCTCTCCCTAGAACCTGAAGTTCCATCAGCTCTTGCATTCACCCTAACTGGCACGCTCAAAAGTGGGCCGCCAAAGAAAATAGATTGGCCAGTGTAGGTCAGCCTCTCAGCTTGCTGATTACCAATCTTCACAGCAAAAGAATCAGGAAGAGACCCCCTACTTTTCACATTACCACTACTACTAGCTTCCACAGCTTGGGTTGAAAATCGATTCGTTGCTTCTAAACCAACATCATTTCTTGCAGAAGTTGGAAAAGATATATAGCGACCTGCTTCTTGGTCCCATACAACAGAAGTCCTCTTATTATCCTGAGTAAGAGAGGAGGATTGGATTGGCATGGGCAGCCCAGTGACATTATTACTTCTCTGTGCTATTCTCCCGTCAAAGTAAACTTCACTAGATGACTGAAAAACGGGGATCTTTTGTTTGGGAAGGTTAAAGGGAAAGGAAGCACGAACAGTGCTTGTAGGACCTGCTGGTCTCTCTAGTGGAGCAGGGTTCAGAGCAAGTGAATCATGGTGAGTGTGAGGGGGGCTGCTGAAGCTGCTCATGCTTTGAGTCCCAGTATCTAAATCTTCCATGCTTGCTTGACTGGGTGGATATGAAGCTTTTAATGGAGATTGGCTTGAGGCAATCTTGATTGTCTCCTTATTTAGCACCCCAAATTCTGTGCTCGTACTACTTTGACTGCTACTGATGTTTCCACTTGAATTGTAATCATGTTCATGCATAGGAAGACGATGGTCAATTGGGCGGAGTACAGAGGATGATGCTCTAGCCTTGGCTGCCGCTCTCATGGCCTCACTTGAATCAAGCTTGGCTAGTTTCCAAGCACTCCTTCTAATTGGCCTCTTGGGCATCTTGTTACCTCCCCTTTCTGGGAACCCACCAGCATCTGGGTCCACTGTGGAAGGTACTTGTCCTGGCCCCAATTGTGGGACAACTTCATCCTGCTGTAATCAAGTAAATCCATTAAGAAAAGAACAGAATAAAAAGGGGAATATCACTGCAGTTTCATGGAAAACCTGCACAGATCATGTTGGGGCTCCACAAATTTCAAATGTAATGACAATGCATAGAACCATTAATGATTATTTTACCAGGATCTGGTACATATAATCACATTGGAGAATTGATGGTAAAAAAGTAATTTTACAGATAAAATCATAAGCTCTTAAGAAATTGACAGGTACAAGTACTGTCCTGAGATTTAAGTTTCTAGACCACCTGTGTGATACATACAGGTGTGATAGGTGCGGTCGTAACGTTTTCCAAGAAAAATGAAACAGATACAAATATCTTGTATGATCATAAACCACAAGAGTTGATCAGCAAAGGTCAGCAATGGAAAATGTTACCTGGTAATCAATAAAAACCCTTGGAGGCGTACACCATACTCCTTTATTTTGAAGGCCTCCAAGAGAGCTCCCTCTGCTCAAGCCTGTTGCTGCGGAACTAGTGGGAGACGTCGGCATGCTTTCCTCCTGATCCCCATCAATAGATGGCCCTGGTGGATCACTTTGTGCCCTCATTGCAACAACGTAGTCATATGTTGTAATACCCTGTTTTGTTATTCGAAATAAAAATGCACATGGTCATATGGCTGCTGAACTGTTTTAAAAGAAGAATTAGTTAGCTTTCAACTAGAGGAGACTCTGACCTTTCGAATTAGTATCATATGAAAGAAGAAAAGTTCTCCAAGAGGAACACATGCAAGCAATGAAACTGCCGTACATATGACCTGCACAAAGAATTTTACATGAGGCAACAGTTATATCCTGCTTAACCCATCATTGGTACAAAAAAACTGGGTCAACCACATTCTACAGGTACTCTAAAGCCAAAGCACAACATTCAACAGAGTTGCTGGATTGGATATGCATGTCTTCAGACCAAAGAGCCTAATAGATGGAGGCATAATTACGATGAAGACTATATGGTTAAAAGGCATGTGCATTGAAGGGCGTGTCTCATTTTGGGAGTCCAAGTGCTTGCTTAAGTAAATGTTCTGGTTCCCTAAAGAGATTGCTTTGGATAGTCTATTTTCCATATTAATAGATCTATTTAGATAGGGGAACACAATGGTTAACTCGTAAAGTGAGGCCCATTATGCATGGGAAATGCAACTAGGGAAAGGATCAGGTAATTCCAGGGGTGTAATAGACTAATTATGTTGGTGTGTCTCCAGATGCAATGAAGATAATGAGGTGGCTGCTCTTCTTTGTAAAGTTTATCTTCCATGAGTGGTTTCCTGTGGCATGTTACATATGTATTATGCTTTTCTATTCTAAACTAAATAATTAACATGATCATTATTATTATCAAGAAGAAATAAGGTTTCTCAGTATCATAAATCTTGCATATCAGACTAATAATTTAGAAGTTCACTCATCAGCATTTGCATCAGCAATAATTTGATAAAAGGTTTTGAAGACATCATCAATATGTACCATCAACTAAAATCTTTATATCAATGTTCCAAAAAATGTCAGGCGGCACCTAGGCAGCCAGCGGGGAATATGAGTATAGATCATTAGAATATTAAAAATCTCATAATCCAAAAACTTCCAAACCATTGTATATTGGTAATAAATAGACTACTAGCACAAACAAAAATAAAATATAATAGTAATCAATAAATTAGTAATACATGCACAATCTATAATCCATACTCCATAAATCATACTCCATACACCATAGTTCATATCATTCCATAATCCACATTTCATACAATAATACAACCATAAAGGCATACCCATAAGAGCATAAGAGTAGATCATAGAAATTAGAAAATAAGCAAAAAAAATATACAGTCTAAGACTCAACACCAAGAGTCAAGTGTATTCAGTCATCATCAAAAAAAGTAGGGTAAGCCCCATCATATACATTAGATTCGAGGCCACCATCATCAGAGTTATCTCCTTCTTCAACATAACGCTCGTCATCCTCTGTTTCTTCTTAATTTGCCTCTTTCTGCTCTTCTTCTACCCCCCCCTTACTCTGTGCAAATGAGGCCCTAGGAGTCTTGATTGCTCTACCTAGTGCCACTTTACCCTTTTCTTGCTTTATGTGTTTCATTGAACTCAAATATCGCTTAATCTCCCACCTAGCAGCCTCAGGAACATTTTTACACCGGGCAACATCCCCTTTGATACTGGCAAGGTGTTTCTTGAATCGGTAAATACCCCATTAGTATCCTTTCCACAATAATAACACCTTATACAATTTTTGTCATTCAGATTCGGGTTATGACCATACTTCTAACCTAGATCATCAATTCTAGAAGAACCTGGAGAAGATATTTCCATCTAGCAAGGCTCCTTTTCTTTCTTTTCTAGTTTTATTAAATTCAAATATTGTCTAATCACATCCCTAATAGCTTCAGAAACCTTTTTACATGAAGCAACATTCCCTTAAATACCAGCTAGGTGTTTCTTGAATAGGTTAAATACCTCCATTGATATCTTTTGCACAAAAATTACACCTTATACAATTTTTATCATTTGGTTTCGGATTATAACCATATTTCCAACCCAGCTCACAAAAATTACACCTTATACAATTTTTATCGTTTGGTTTCAGGTTATAACCATATTTCCAACTCAGATTAGCACTTCTAGAAGAACCAAAAATAGACTTATCCAAATGTCAAGGATTTTGTTTTTGTTTGTATTTTACTGAACTCATTTATTACTTAATCTCCTCTTTGATAGTTTTAGGAACATTTTTATATGGGGCAACATTCCCCCTAATACGTGCAAGGTGTTTTTTGAACTAGTTTATACCACCAATAGTATCTTTTTCGCAATAATTATATCTTATACGATTTTTGTCACTTGGATTTGGGTTATAACCATACTTCCAACCCCGATCACCACTTCTAGAAGAACCCGAAGAAGACATTGAAACAACAAATAAAATCTAAAATATGAAGATTTTTAACTAACCTTTCTACTCGATCTTCAGTCTTCAATGTTTGAGATGTTGCCAATGTCAAACACTTCCAAAAACCCTCTAAAAAGCTTAAAAAATCATCAAAATCAAATCCAAATAAAAAAGATGATGTTTGGATCGATTTTTCAAAACTCTAAAATATCCAATCAATCTCTTAGAAAAGTAAAAGAAATTATTGTTTTTAAATTTTTTTGAACTCTAAAGGTAAACAAAGGGGTTTAGGTCACACAATAACCTAAACCCCCTGTTTTCCCCTAATTTAAGGGTAAGAAAGACAAAGAATGCCCCTCAACGTGGGGCATGTTCATCCCTAGGAGGGCGCCCAGTCCGGGAATGTTCATCCCTGGGCGACCGCCCAGGGCTGGGAGCTAGCTTAGGTGGGGTCCCAGGTGCCTAGGTGGCTGCCCAAGGACTCCCCACTCAGGATATCCACCTAGGCCTAAGCAATGCGCCCAGGACCCCTGACCCGCCTAGGCGCTAGGCAGTTTTCGATTCACTGCTCTATGTGGTTTGAACATTTCATATCGATGTCATCAAGTATGGATTCTATTAGTTCTTTATATATCAAGGAATTCAGTGAGTTTGCTTTTATAAATCTGAAGAACTAAGTACATCACTATTGAGATGTGAAGGACAAATTGTATCGGTGAACTCAAGTGAAATAGTTTCACGGATAATGTGCAAGGAAGCACATATAGAAGCTATGACGCATATCCCTAAAAATTTAGTTCCACTAGAATTTCTTCATTTCTTCTCATCCTTCTATTACTGTAAGTGAGTATAAAAAGATTGAAACAAAAGCATGCATCTATCTATGAAAAACATTCATCCTGATCACTGAAGGTGCATTTGAGGTCTCCCAACTTATTCACAATATTAGAAAAAAATAAATCCTGCAAAACCAACTATGACTCCAGCAGGTAATTAATGTTTATTGAATGATTCATACTTGTTATGAACTATCATTCAGAGATAATGATAGTCAACCGTAATGCTGGAGATTCACTAAGCTGGGATCGAAGTAAGAGAGGCAACTAGTATGCACGTATCTATTTGCATCAAGCTTACTAAACTCTGAACAATGAGAGAAAACGACCCAAAATTTGTAGGATAAGATGCTAAAAGAAATTGGTAGGATAAGAAATTGGATAACTAGTGCATGACATTGTTCTCATATCAATGTGGATTAAAATCAAGATTTGGTATTTACCACGATAGTCACAAATGGAGCACGGGAGAAGCCATTCCCAAGCCTTTCAACAATATGATGCTCTGCTGCAGACTTATCCACAAAACAACGTACAACAACAGCAATACCAACTCCAATTTCAATTGCAAGCTGGCATCAAACACATTTTCATCAAGAAAAAGAAATATGAGAGGAAAGTTCTCAGTGAAATACAATGCGAAACTAAGTTCTTCATGATACTTGCCCATATGAGACTAGTAGCCATAAGTGACACAAATGTGATGTAGTTTTTCCTCCCCACACAATTATTGAGCCACTGCAATAAGCACAAAATAACAGAAATGGATATCTGCAAGTGTTCTGAAACTTCCAATGCAGTCATATAAGAAAGGACAAAAAAAAAAACAGTCTAATCAATAACTGCATTAAATAGATACCCGACAATGATGATCAAATCCATCGACACATTTGTCACAACTTCTACAGTGCTTGCTAAACTTGCGCACCTGAAAAGTGAATCGTGTGAGATATTTACATATAGAAAGCACAAAAATTGGAAAAGCATTATTGCAGCCCCAAAGCAAAGGCACTCTGAAACAAGACTCTAAGAGAGGTGCGTTATATTCTAATTTGGGAAAATGACATCATTCCCCCAGTTTTGGGAAGTGGGACAACACAACCGATTCCTTTATGAAAGGACATGACCCTTCCCCACTTTTTAAAGAGTGAACCAAGGATCCATCTCCATACTGTCAAAGGGAGTTCCAAACCATTTTTTTGGTAATTGCCTATCCTTTCTCTGTCCACTCTGTCTATCTCTCTACCCCATCATTCACCACCACAAAATTCTGGGGACATGCAATTTTTTAGCCACTGCTATGTTTCGGCTCGTTGTTTAAAGCAGTCTTTTGCATTTTAATTGCTTCAGCTCTTTGATTTTTGAAGACCAAAGAGAGAGAGAAGCCTTGAAGAAGTTCCAAACTGCCCATCCAGGTTCAGCAATTTCATGACCAAGTCCTTTCATGCAACAGTTGTATAGTAGCATAATGCAACCACACCTCTAGAGAACCATGTTTTTGGCATTTGTATGACCCCAAATTTTGTACACACATTCTCTTCATCTTCATAATCAACCCTACGGAAAACAATAAATAAATAAATTCAATTTGCACCCTAGATATGGTCAAAATTAGCACCCTCCAACGATGAATCTTGACTGTCCATTTGGGGAATTTCAAGATCTAGGCCATAACAAATTCAAAATCATTTTTTCCTTTTTTTAGCATTGTTAATCTAATGATTATAACGCTATATAAAAATTTTGGGAATAAAAAAAATCCTTCTGAGGCCTAATCTGACCATCTCACTAAAATGGACGGCTTATATTAACTGGGCTAGAAAAACACTTTCTAGGGTGTTTTTTCAAAATTTTCTTTTTTGTAATTGTTCTTTAGAATGAAAAGAGTGTACATGTAAAACTGTGTCAAACAAATGCCTCTAACATGGTTTTTGAAGA